TGAGCCCTCAGACGACTCAGAAATGACATTAGTTGGTGCTTGGGCAGTGGGTGATGGTGGAGGAGTGTCTCTTAGTCTAGGTCTTTCCGGCCAGTCTTCCATGTATTCTGACACGGGTCCGAAGAAATGTCCCTGATGGCTCATACTCACTCCCTGAGGAATGGGAGGCAGCTCGATCAGCAGCTTTTATTAGTTTTATGGTCCTTTTAATGTTTTCTTGAGCTTGGGGAATGAGTTTTATCATCTTCTTCTTCCCTCCCTGGGAGGATTTTCCTCTGCTTGGTTGTTTACCACTTCGTCGCACCATTGTCTGCAATCATAGTTCAATCAGCTTGTTAGTATCAGTGTAATCAGTTAAGAACAAAGTTGCAGAAGCAGAACAAGTAATGTTGCAGATTCACCCAGTGCAGACTGCACAAAATCAACTGCGGCCACACTGAGGTCACCGCGGACCACACAATATCCACCGCGGTCCGCACAGAGGTGGGCTTCAGACTACCCACTCTCTGTATCTAGGTAGTGCGGACCGCACAAAATCAACCGCGGCCGCACTGGGCTAGTGCGGTCCGCACAAAATGTAGTGCGGCCGCACTGCCTGAGGTTCAACAATCAGAAGATTATCAGTACGGTCCGCACAAAATAGCAGTGCGGACCGCACTGGGACACCGCGGACCGTACTAGGACACCGCGGACCGCACTGGGACACCGCGGACCGCACAAAAATGACCGCGGTCCGCACTGAGTGCCCAGTTGTGGCACTAAATTGGGGTTCCATGTATTTTGATTTTGGGACCAATTTTTCCACCTAAGTAGTGTCCCTACATGATTACCATTGATTTTAACTATCTATGTCTATTTTGACCTAGAAATTAACAACCCTAACCTACTTAATTGAAGAAAAGTATAGAAAGTATAGAAAAGGGGAAGAAAGAAAACACAAATTAAAAGAAATTAACAAAAATTAAACAATTAAAAGAAAGATAATGGTACCAAATATGAGAGTTAATGAAAAATAACAAGTCCAAGCAGTTGAGTGCAAGCAAAAGAGGTGGTGAACAGTAGATTTAGAGTTCTGAGAGTGAAAGGTGCGAAAAGGGTAAAAGGAGGGCCTCAGGCCCTATTTATAGAAAAGGACCTGGGGCCCAGTCTCACCAACCAGTGCGGACCGCACAAAATGGACCGCGGTCCGCACTGCACAGCCTTGTTCAAGATCAACTTAGCAACCCACTGCGGTCAGTACAAAATGGACCGCGACTGTAGTGGTCCACCGCGGACCGCACAAAATATAGTGCGGCCGCGGTGGCAAACTTCAGAGAGTTATCACATCATCTTTTACTAGTGCGGTCCGTACAAAATGGTAGTGCGGCAGTACTGGAAACTTAAGAGACCTATGCATTTTTTTTCAATTATGTCCTGCGCTGCATCAACTCAATCCTGTAACATCTCACAACCAGTTAGCCCAAAAATCAATCCTACACTACAATGGAAATGGGAGGAAGAGGGAGACCAAAGAAGAATCATAGCAAAACACGAGTAATTGAACGGAGAATCACAGAAATTATCATAAGGGAGCAAGGAAAGCAACATGCAAAAGCAAAAGACAAAATAGGTAACATGAACGTTTTGCCAGTCACAGTTGGTGGAGCGAGTAGGAGTAAAACAGTACCTAATGTAACAATAACTACAAGCTTGGCAAAGGAGCAAAGAAATGAAACAATATTAGTTGGAACTGAAGATGAGAAGCACAAGCATGAGACAAAAACAAATCCAAAAGGCAATATAGGAAGGTCATGGGCAGGCCTACTCCATGACAACAAATTTGCAGCAAAAGTTATGAATCTAGCATATATACCACCGGTGATACAAGATGGTGAAGTAGTAGTGCAAATTTCTGGAAGAAGACATAGCTGAAGACAATCAGAAGTAGAATCGAGCAATAATCTTGTATGTAGTTTGAAATACCCTAACTATTGGGACTATTGAACGATTCATAGCTGGACAGTGGAGTAAAATCAGAAAACCAAAGGTTCTATTCTATAATGATGGTTATTTATAATTCTGATGAACAGTTGTGAAGATAGGGATGATTTGTTAATAATGGGCCGTATACTATGACTAGCAGACCAGTTATACTTAGACTATGGACTGAGGGATTTGATTTCAATGAGGAAGTGCCGAAAACCATTCCTCTTTGGGTCAAATTCCTAAAACTTCCATTGAACTACTGGAGCAACCAAGCTCTAAGCAAAATTGGGAGTGGTCTGGGTAAGCCCCTGTATGCTGATGCATGTACCATAGTGGCTGACAGGATTTCATATGCTAGGGTATTAATTGAATTGGACATCACTATGGCATTACCAAGATCAATCAAACTATTTGATCCTAAAGGAAAGGTGATAAAGCAGGTGGTACAATACGATTGGAAGCCTCAATATTGTCAAACATGTTGTCAGATTGGTCACTCATGCCAAGACCAGCAGAAACAAAATCAGGAAGATGGTCAACAAAGGACTCGAATTCAGAACTAGAAGCAAGAATGGAGAGTTGTGGGACACTTGATCCTAAGGTGGACAAAATTGATACATATAGGAGATTTTTAGAACAAGTGGAAGAAGACAGTGAGGTGACACAAAACAAAAAGACAAATGAAGAGCAATGGCAGTTGGCTAGGGGAAAGTCTGCATCAAAGAAGAGTATGAGAGGGAGAAGTGAGAATGAGATCAATATTGGTAATGCTTTCAAAGCTTTAGTTGACACAGCACAAAAGATTGTGCAAATGTCTGAAGCTCAAGAACATAGTAGAGGACAGCCTAGTGAAAAGGGCAGAAATGGTAACCCCAATCTAAATATCGTAGGATGATGAAGTTCATATCGTGGAAGGTTAGGGGTCTGAATAAAGTCTATAAGCAAAAGGAACTCAAAATTTTTGTGAAAGAGAGTAAAGTAGTGTTAATGGTTGTGCTAGAAAATAGAGTCAAAGAGACAAATGCTGACTCAATAATAAAGAAGGTGATTAATACTTGGAGATGGATAGCAAACTACGATGATGCTCCAGGAGGTAGAATATTGGTAGTGTGGGATCAGACAAATGTGGACTTTGAGGTATATCAAATTTATAAACAGTATATTGTAGGGTTGGTGACAATAATCCAGAGCAACACCAAGTCTAACTTTGGAGCTGTGTATGAAATGCATACTATACAAGACATGAAGACATTATGGCAAGATACGAGGAATACCATAAATGAAATTAGTGGTTCTAGTGTAATAATGGGGGACTACAACACTATTCTTACTAGTGAGGATAGAGTGAATGGGAATGGCAATGCAGGAGTTTGAGGTGAGATATTTCAAAGAGTTCATATTGCATGTTGGCCTAACTGAACTAAGAACTGTGGGTAGGAAGTATACTTGGACAAACAATCATGTCCATAGTAAAATAGATAGAATTCTTGTTAATGTTGAATGGATCCATAAGTGGCCAAAAATGGAGGGGAGTATTTTGAAGCCTGGTTTCTCCGATCACTATCTTTTGAGCATAACTTTTGATCACACTAACCAAGCTGGAAATAGATCTTTCAAGTTTATAAATCGTCTGGCACAATACAAGGAATTTGAGGACACAGTGAGACACACAGTCCGTGAAGACTTTGCAAAAACAATTTCAGACTTTCTCTGCAGCTTCAGGTCTAATTGCAAATCCAAACAAAAGCTGCATTTATTTTGGAGGAGTGGACAATAGGACACATCAGCATATAAAGGAACTGTTAGGATACACTAAAGGAGATCTACCTTTTAGATACCTTGGTGTTCCTTTGAGTACAAAGAGGCTGACAGCAATGCAATGTGAAGAACCCTTAATTGTTAGAATGCTAAGCAGAATTCAGTGCTGGACAACAAAGTTTTTATCATATGCAGGTAGAGCAACACTGATCAAGAGTGTGTTGGTGGCAATCCAGAATTTTTGGGCTCAAATCTTTATACTCCCAAAGAAGATTATTCAGTTTATAGAAACAATTTGCAGGAGGTTTCTATGGCCGGGAATGTTGAGCCAAGTAAGAAGGCATTGATTGCTTGGGATAAGTTATGTGCTCCAAAGGCAGCAGGAGGGCTAAACTTCATCAATGTGAAAGTGTGGAATAATGCAGCCATATGCAAGCTCCCATGGAACATCTGCACAAAGAAAGAAAAACTCTGGGTTCAATGGATACATGCCTACTATATAAAAGAGAACACTATATGGAACACTGAGCCAAAGAGTGCATTGTGGGTTATCCAGAAAATCTTCAAGACCAAAAGACAGTTTGAAGAGGCTGGTTATTTAGAGGAAGAAGTGAATCAAATGGAAAAGTTCTCTGTAAAGCATATATACAAAGCACTGCAGGGGAGCTTTCAAAAGGTGTCATGGAGGAAGATAATATGCAACAACAATGGGCTTCCAAAATGGATTTTCATCTTAAGGTTGGCACTACAAGATAAGTTAGCCACCAAAGAAAGGCTAACAAGGCGGGGATTAGTAGAAGACACAGTTTGTTCATTGTGTCAGAGAAAGGATGAGATAATACAACACTTGTTCTTTGAATGTGAACTATCAGATGATGCATGGCAGAAGCTTCTACATTGGCAAGGGATCATGAGAAGGAAGAAAGAATGGCAGGAAGAAATACAGTGGACAAAGAAAATAGCCAAAGGGAAGAGTGCAGGAGCTGCAGTATACAGAATGGTGTTAGCTCCAGCAGTCTATCATATATGGCAAGCAAGAAATAGTACCATTTCAAAAGAAGAAGAGTAGTGCAAAGACTATAGTTAAATTGATTATCCAAGAGATACACACTATAGCTCAGCAACCAGATTGACCCAAGGTGCAGAGGCAATAGGAGAACAAGGATTTAGTTAGAAATTCTCCTTGCCGGGGCTTCATGTCCAGCAGGAGCTTTGTTAGGCGAGTTTGGATTTTGTAAAGCTATAAATGTTTTACTTGGTAAATAAAGTCTTTAATTACCAAAAAAAAAAGTTCATCAAGATGATACTAAGTTCATAGTAATAAACAGTTCATTTCCCTGCGATTTGCTGCTGAAACATAATTCTTCCTTTAAAATACAGTTCACCGAAGAAAATGTGAGCATAACTATAACTGTGAGAATGACTACAGCAAAACCGAGCACTCCTTCCCATGTTTCTCTGCTAAATTTGGTAAACCTCTCCTGGAATACTTCAAAAACTAGAGCTTATACAGGGAACAAGTTTATATCCTATTCTTAGCTACTTTTTCTGACTCGATTGCTGTCAAATGCCTTATCCCGTTCTCTTTCAACCATATTTCACCTCCCGCCAAACAATTCTGGAGCTGCTTCTTTCCCATTTTCAACATCTTTAGACCTTCACTCAGCTTGGGGAAGAAACCCTCAGGTCTTAAACACCAAGCTCCGAACACCCCAAATAAAACTGTTAAATCATTGCTAAGCCTCTCAACTCCACCGTCAGAGAACTTAGCATTGGTCATTAAAATACCATTAAAAATTAACTTGTCCAGCCCAGGGGCCAAACTTCTCCAGACCCCAACAAAATCCATTCTATTCAAAGCTTTTTCAAGTACTGACATCTTTCCTTGCAGATAATCTAGTGCCCCAACAAAAGACTGGGATACCATCCACCCTTCTTCACCTTTTTCCTGCCATTGCTTCTTGTTCTTTAGATAATCTCGGCAGCAAACACCGAATCCCCTCAAAACTACCACAGACAACTTCTCGACCCAGCTAGTTCTAAATTCTTCCAGCTTCTTAATTTCTTCATAAAGAATTCCATTGCCAGATGATTCTTCTGAACAGAAGTCATTTCCATCAGTAGATGTGTCCAATTGAGTAACCTGGTTCAGCCCCATCTCAAGAAAGAAGATATCCTCACACCATTCATTTAAAATAGACTCAAAGTAGCGTGCAGCATTTACAGATTTTGCAACTTTCATCAAAGCATCATCATCTGTCAAGGCAGTTAATCCTTCGGCTTCTTGGCACCTGAAAAGCAGACTACCCAAAAACTTGTGTATAATTGGTGGACCTGTCAATTTCAAAAATCTTGATCTCAACGTTATGCTAGGCAGTGATCGACAACGATCAATAACAGCCGACAACCGCTGATGAAATGCACCGGCAATCGCTGGGGACTTGTTGTCTTCTTGGGCTGATAGAACAGCAACTCCACGAACTTCCATCGACCAACTTCTTTCATTCTCAATCTCAGGTTTTAATTTATCAAATGCATCAGTAAGCTCTATATCAGCCCACAAGTCAAGCCAATCAGGCCTGTCACAAAATACAGAAAATGATGAAAGTTTGTCTAAGTTTTCCATCTCTGCAAAAG